TTGACATATTTGTAATTGTCGTGAAAAATCCTTTAAAATGAGCCCAAACATGATACGTTTAATTCCAATATTAGTCGAGATATAAGCGACTTCCGGTTTGAAATATCAATGTCATTTTGACAAATTCTTAATTTTTATAAAATGTCTTAAAATTTGTCACTAAAATAAAAATACAATAAAAAAAATTAAAAATTAAGGTTGGTATTAACATTTAATAATTAAATTGCTATCTTCATTGCTGCTAACTTCGGGTTTAACGTTTTTTATTCTAACTTTGTTGTTTTTTGAGATAAATGCGTCGTGTTTGGACTAATTTTAAAGGTTTTTTTAATAAAGAATACATAATGAAAGAACACCATGAAGTTGTCCATTTGTCTGTTATATGATAACTAACTTCAGATTTAAAATGTCAACCTCAATTTTGACATATTTGTAATCTTCATTAAAAATCCTTTAAAATAAGTACAAACACGACACATTTATCTCCAATATTAATGAAGTTATGGTCAACTTCCGGTTAGAAATGTCAAAGTCAATTTTGACATATTTGTAATTGTCGTGAAAAATCCTTTAAAATGAGCTCAAACATGATACGTTTGTCTCAAGACGCACGGCTAAACCCGATATTTTCTAGTTCTAGGTCTAGTGTTAGTTGTAGTTTTAATTTTATGCACTGCTAGACCAAGAACTAGAATCATTCGGGTTTAATCGTCTTAAGAGTCCTCCGACTAAACCCAAATGGTTCTAGTTCTAAAATGTTAGTTCTAGTAACAGTGTAAGTGTAAAACTAGAACTAACACTATACCTAAAACTGAAAATATTCGGGTTTAGCCGTCTTTAGAGACGTGCGGCTAAACCCAAATGATTCTGGTTCTAGTGATAATTGAAAATTAATTAAAATTAATTAATTAAAAGACGAAAGGTCCATAAACGCAAAGTCCATTGAGTAAACATACTGTATAAGGTTATCCAACTCTCTATAAACGCTGTTGTTATGAATGTATCCCCCTACAAAGACCTTGCTGTGACGTCATTGGAAGAATTGACATTTCTATGTTTTTATTTATACAGTATATTTCACAAAAATATAAATATATTAAAAAAAAATGCGAGATAATCGTAAAAAATTAGAATTGTTTTAAACTTAATAAAAATTAGGTTAGAATTGATAAAAAAATCGAAATAAAATTTTATTATTTTAAGGTTATCCAACTTGACTCGGTTACCATGGTGATTAAGATCCAAATATTGCACTTGCTTGTCAAAATTGACGTTGATTTTAAGTTTTTTTAATGAAAAACACATAATTAATTGGATTTAAAGGTTGTATTTAATTCAAAATGGGTAAGTGGATTAAATAAAAAAAAATATTTTTAGATCATTTTAATGTACAAGAATTTAGGGTTAAATAACAATTAAAACTAGAACTAACACTAAACCTAGAACTAGAAAGTTTTAGGTTTAGCCGGGCGTCTTAGAGGAATGTTTATAGATAATTTGTAGAGAATTAAATTCTATTTTTCTACTTACAATTAAACGGTGTAATCAAAACTATAGCAATCCATTTAAAATAACGAAGTTATGGTCTACTTCCGGTAGACCGGAAGTGGCGGCGAACTTGAAAATAATTTAGATCGAAATGAACATGTTCCGAATGAACAACCCATACTACCAAAATTTCAAACCTCTACGAATAGTGGAACCTGAAAAAGTTCTAACGAACCAGTTACGTGACATTTTAAATCTGAAGTTAGCTATCATATAATAGACAAATGGACAACTTCATGGTGTTCTTTCATGATGTATTCTTTATTAAAAAACGTTTAAAATGAGTTCAAACATGATGCATTTATCTCGAAAAACAACAAAGTTGTAATAAAAAATATTAAAGTTGGCTACATTGAAATTAGCAACATAATTTTGAAATATTAATACCAACCTAAATTTTTCATTTTTTTTTAAACGTATCATGTTTGAGCTCATTTTAAAGGATTTTTCACGACAATTACAAATATATCAAAATTGGCTTTGACATTTCTAACCGGAAGTTGACCATAACTTCATTAATATTGGAGATAAATGTGTCTTATTTTAAAGGCTTTTTAATGAAGATTACAAATATGTCAAAATTGAGGATGACATTTTAAATCTGAACTTAGTTATCATAATATATAATAAACAAATGGACAACTTCATGGTGTTCTTTCATGATGTATTCTTTATTAAAAAAACCTTTAAAATGAGTCCAAACATGTCGCACTTATCTCAAAACAGTTTGAATAAAAAAATGTTAAACCGGAAGTTAGCAACAATGAAGATAGCAATTTAATTATTAAATATTAATACCAACCTTAATTTTTAATTTTCTTTTTATTGTATTCTTGTTTTTGTGATAAATTTTAAGACATTTTATAAAAATAAAAAATTTGTCAAAATGACATTGACATTTCAAACCGGAAATTGCTTATATCTTCACTAATATTGGAATTAAACGTATCATGTTTGGGCTCATTTTAAAGGATTTTTCACGACAATTACAAATATGTCAAAATTGACTTTGACATTTCTAACCGAAAGTTGACCATAACTTCATTAATATTGGAGATAAATGTGTCGTGTTTGTACTTATTTCAAAGGATTTTTAATGAAGATTACAAATATGTCAAAATTGAGGTTGACATTTTAAATCTGAAGTTAGTTATCATATAATAGACAAATGGACAACTTCATGGTGTTCTTTCATGATGTATTCTTTATTAAAAAAACCTTTAAAATGAGTCCAAACATGACGCACTTATCTCAAAAAAGGTTGAATAAAAAAACGTTAAACCGGAAGTTAGCAACAATAAAGATAGCAATTTAATTATTAAATATTAATACCAACCTTAATTTTTAAGTTTTTTTATTGTATTTTTGTTTTTGTGATAAATTTTAAGACATTTTATAAAAATTAAGAATTTGTCAAAATGACATTCACATTTCAAACCGGAAGTTGCTTATATCTCGACTAATATTGGAATTAAACGTATGATGTACGTTTAATGGGCTCATTTTATAGGATTTTTCACGACCATTACAAATATGTCAAATATGACTTTGACATTTGTAACCGGAAGTTGACCATAACTTCATTAACATTGAAGGTTGACATTTTAAATCTGAAGTTAGTTATCATATAATTCAACTTCATGCTGTCCATGGTGGGGGAGGGGTACTTTCTAGTTCTAAGTCTAGTGTTAGTTCCAGTTTTAATTGTTACTAAGCGTTAAATTGTTGTCTATTTTTACTGAAATAGAACTAAGATGTTACAATAGGTATAATGACCTAAACATTTTTGAATTTTATTTTAAGGATGGGGAATTAAGCTCTGCTTGGTGTGGAAAAAATTTTAAGTATATTTTCATATTTTGAAAATCAACTCGGCCTTGACAATGAAGCGAAAACCATTTTTAGTTCAGGTAAAGTAAGCTTTTTGTTTATGATACGGCAAAATTTCAGAAAGGTCTACCTACATTGATTGAACCACCATATTTTAGAGTAGATCAGAGTGAGGAAAAAGAACAATGATAAATGCCATGAAAAAAATGTATTATCCCTCAGTTTTAGTTCACATTTCAATTATTCTTGCATTATGTTAAAATTAGAACAGAAAATTTACGTCGTGCAGTGTTATAGGCTTAGGCAAAGTGAACTACGAGCAGTGGTGCAGCAGTTTAACGAATCTTAATTCTTCAGATTTAAAATAAAATGCAAAAATTTTTAAGTCATTATACCTCTTGTAACATCTATTTTGGGACATACTGTATACTATATTCATTACATAATGGGCACCTGTATATTATATTTTACTTTTCTTCCAATGACGTCATGTTTCCTACATTACTCCGTCAATTTAACGTCAATTTGTTCGAGTTGGATAACCTTATAACCAATACTCAACGGACCTTGCCATAAACGTACAAAACTATGTATTTAAAGTTGCATACTCAACAACAAAATTGTACTTTAATAATTCTACCTTTCCCGATATATTCGCTGTAGAATATGAGATTAACACAAAAATTAAAACTTTAACATTATAACAACCTCTTAACATATTTACAAAATCGACCTATAAAGATGAGTAGCTTTTACCTTGTTTTCATTTTCATTATTAGCAGTTATGCTAATTTGTAATCTTGTATTAGCAGGAATTCCCCCTAATTGTTCTAAATTGTTACTATTCTTCGTGTTATTTTCGTAATGTTTCAATTCTTGTAATAAAGCTTGTTTTTGAGATAAAAGTTCTCGGACTATATCGTGTTCTTGAGTATTATTTATTAAGTTTGATTTATTCGTTGTGTATCCTCTAACTAAAAAATATAATAAAATATGCTTGTCGATTAATAAAACGTTCCAATTACCTTCCCCTTCGACGGTAACACAAATTAAATCATTTTTTCCAACGGATCTGTAATCACCTTCAACGATTCCTGCGATTCCATGATCCATGTTATCTTTAAATAAAACTTCTCCCGTTAAAATTGATCGGCAATCGATTTTCCCGTTCGACCAACCAGTTATTAATTGAGAATTGCCTTTTCCCAATAAATCATAAGTGTTAATTGATATTGCAAAGTTTTTGGACTAAAAAATTTTTTCAAGCTAATTATTAACTTAATTATTACATTAATTTTTTACCTTAACTCTCCATAATCTAACATCTTGTTCATAAACTCCTATTGTCCCGTTTGAAATCGAATACGCAAATTTATTCTCAGAAACGCTTTCAACGCCGGTAACGACTTCAGTTTCGGTTTGTTCGCTAATAAGTTGTTCTCCTTTGTAAACTCGAATTTTAAAGTCTTCAGAGCTAACGATTAGCTCGTTTATTCCATCTTTGTTATAATCCATCAAAACCAATGAAGTGATAACATCACCGATTGCGGTCCAAAATATTTCTTCCCCTTCATGATTTAATCCTTTAACCGTCGAATTTCCCCCTATCAGAATCAAATTTGTTTTTGCATCGCGTAAAGTTCCTAACGTAACTGCTTTAACACCATCTACACATTCCTTATAAAAAATATCTTTGTTATCGTGAACATGATAAACCAAAATGTGCATTTGGGTGCCGATTATTAAAATGTCTTTATCGTCGTTTGGCAAAAATTGGCCGGATTCTATGCAAGTTATTTTTTGGTTTATGTTTAGTGTTGCGATTTCTCGATTTGTTTCTGACCAAATTATTCGACCTGTTATTGTTGATGTTTTTCTGTGAGGGCTATGAATTAATATCTAAAATATATTAAATGAATAGTAAATAATTTTGATGTAAAATTAAATCTTACTTTATCAGCTGTGGTTGCTGCTGTTATACAAGGATGAGTACCATCATATTTCCCAATTGTAACTAATCCAGGGATTATTTTGTAATTAAGATCTAACGTAAAAACAGGCCGAATTTGTTTCTCCATGTTGTGAATTAATATGATGAAGGTAAAGGTTGTTAAAGGTTAAAAGGAATCGATATTTCTATGGGAACCAATATAAACACAATTTTTATTATGTTTTGAAATACTTTTTATTGTACTTATTACGAACAGTGTATACACATAGAAAAATAGCATCGCATCTAATAAAATCATATGATACAATACAGACTTAATACATAAACATGACTTAATACATAAAAGCTAACTTAAATTAAGAATAAATTGAACATAATTTATATCATTACTTTTTATATTTTGTTCAATTATAATTAGAATTAAAAATAATAAAATCAGAACACATACAAGGGCAGTTAGCGTATAAATAAAGAATCCAGATAATCTAATAAATTAAACAACGTCGGAGATGGCACAAATTTTCTCATTATATTCTTTTTATTTATTTCATCTCTTCCGATTGAATCAACGGGATTACTCCCAAAACAAACGTTTCTATTTCGCATTCATTGTGTCCTTTTACTATTCTAAAATAACCATTTTCACCCCATTCGGTCCCCCAACTGTTTGCAACTTTCTAAAATTAACAAAAAGATTAATAAATACAAGAAATATTTACCCATACGAAGTTAACCAATAAAAGTTTTAGTGTAAAAGTGGTAACAAACTTTATTCTTAACAATATTGCTCTTTTACACTTTGGCTCTCAGATGCATAAATATCGAGAAAAATTCGAAAAGGTGATAATAAGATGAAATCGTAGTTTTACATTTTGTTATCGCAGCATGTTACAAAAAAACTTTTAGAACAAGAGTTGTAGCAAATTTTATTCTTAGCAACATTGCTCTCTTGCAGTTTTGCTCTTAGATGCATAGATATTGAGAAAAATACGAAAATATAAAAATTTTATAAATTTCGTTGTTTTTAAAGCAGTTAATGATAACACTTGGATATCGCAGCATGTTACAAAAAAACTTTTCAAACAAGAGTTATAGCAAATTTGATTCTTAGCAACATTGCTCTCTTGCACTTTTGCTCTCAGATGCATGGATATTGAGAAAAATGCGAGAATATAAAAATTTTATAAATTTCGTTGTTTTCAAAGCAGTTAATGATAACACTTGGATATCGCAGCATGTTACAAAAAAACTTTTCGAACAAGAGTTGTAGCAAATGTTATTCTTAGCAATATAGCTCTTTTGCACTTTACCTCTCAGATGCGTAGATATTGAGAAAAATACGAAAATATAAAAATTTTATAAATTTCGTTATTTTCCAAGCAGTTAATGATAACACTTGGATATCGCAGCATGTTACAAAAAAACTTTTCGAACAAGAGTTGTAGCAAATTTTATTCGTAGCAACATTGCTCTTTTGCAATTTTGCTCTCAGATGCGTAGATATTGAGAAAAATACGAAAATATAAAAATTTTATTAATTTCGTTATTTTCAGAGCAGTTAATGATAACACTTGAATATCGCAGCATGTTACAAAAAAACTTTTCCAACAAGAGTTGTAGCAAATTTTATTCTTAACAACATTGCTCTCTTGCACTTTACCTCTCAGATGCATAGATATTAAGAAAAATACGAAAATATAAAAATTTTATAAATTTCGTTGTTTTCAAAGCAGTTAATGGTGACACTTGGATATCGCAGCATGTTACAAAAAAACTTTTCGAACAAGAGTTGTAGCAAATTTGATTCTTAGCAACATTGCTCTTTTGTACTATTGTTCTCAGATGTATAGATATTGAGAAAAATACGAAAATATAAAAATTTTATAAATTTCGTTGTTTTCAAAGCAGTTAATGATAACACTTGGATATAGCAGCATGTTACAAAAAAACTTTTCAAACAAGAGTTGTAGCAAATTTTATTCTTAGCAACATTGCTCTCTTGCACTTTTGCTCTCAGATGCGTAGATATTGAAAAAAATACGAAAATATAAAAATTTTATAAATTTAGTTGTTTTCAAAGCAGTTAATGATAACACTTGGATATCGCAGCATGTTACAAAAAAACTTTTCGAACAAGAGTTGTAGCAAATTTTATTCTTAGCAACATTGCTCTCTTGCGCTTTTGCTGTCAGATGCACAGATATTGAGAAAAATACGAAAATATAAAAATTTTATAAATTTAGTTGTTTTCAAAGCAGTTAATTATAATACTTGGATATCGCAGCATGTTACAAAAAAACTTTACGAATAAGAGTTGTAGTAAATTTTGTTCTTAGCAACATTGCTCTCTTGCACTTTACCTCTCAGATGCATAGATATTGAGAAAAACACGAAAATATAAAAATTTTATAAATTTCGTTGTTTTCAAAGCAGTTAATGATAACACTTGGATATCGCAGCATGTTACAAAAAAACTTTTCGAACAAGAGTTGTAGCAAATTTGATTCTTAGCAACATTGCTCTCTTGCACTTTTGCTGTTAGATGCATAGATATTGAGAAAAATACGAAAATATAAAAATTTTATAAATTTCGTTGTTTTCAAAGCAGTTAATGATAACACTTGGATATCGCAGCATGTTACAAAAAAACTTTTCGAACAAGAGTTGTAGCAAATTTGATTCTTAGCAACATTGCTCTCTTGCACTTTTGCTGTTAGATGCATAGATATTGAGAAAAATACGAAAATATAAAAATTTTATAAATTTCGTTGTTTTCAAAGCAGTTAATGATAACACTTGGATATCGCAGCATGTTACAAAAAAACTTTTCGAACAAGAGTTGTAGCAAATTTTATTCTTAGCAACATTGCTCTCTTGCACTTTAACTCTCAGATGCATAGATATTGAGAAAAATACGAAAATATAGAAATTTCATAAATTTCGTTGTTTTCAAAGCAGTTGATGAGAACACTTGGATATTGGAGCATATTACAAAAAAACGTTTACAATAAAAGTTGTAGCAAATTTCATTCTTAGCAACATTGCTCTCTTGCACTTTTGCTCTTAGATGTATAGATATTGAGAAAAATACGAAAACATAAAAATTTTATAAATTTCGTTGTTTTCAAAGCAGTTAATGATAACACTTGGATATCGCAGCATGTTACAAAAAAACTTTTCAAACAAGAGTTGTAGCAAATTTTATTCTTAGCAACATTGCTCTCTTGCACTTTTGCTCTGAGATGCATAGATATTGAGAAAAATACGAAAATATAAAAATTTTACAAATTTCGTTGTTTTTAAAGCAGTTAATGATAACACTTGGATATCGCAGCATGTTACAAAAAAACTTTTCGAACAAGAGTTGTAGCAAATTTGATTCTTAGCAACATTGCTCTCTTGCACTTTTGCTCTCAGATGCGTAGATATTGAAAAAAATACGAAAATATAAAAATTTTATAAATTTAGTTGTTTTCAAAGCAGTTAATGATAACACTTGGATATCGCAGCATGTTACAAAAAAACTTTTCGAACAAAAGTTGTAGCAAATTTTATTCTTAGCAACATTGCTCTCTTGCACTTTTGCTCTCAGATGCATAGATATTGAGAAAAATACGAAAATATAGAAATTTTATGAACTTCGTAAGTTTTAGTGTAAAAGTTTTCGCAAACTTTAATCTTAACAATATTGCTCTTTTACACTTTTGTTCTCAGATGCATAAATTTCAAGGAAAGTTTGAAAAGGTGAAAATTAGACGAATTCGTGGTTTTACATCTTATTGTTGGTAAAGCACGGGATTGAGAACGTTTTAGAGAGAAAGTTTTAGTGTAAAAGTTGTGTAAAAGAAAGGTTCTCTTGTTATAGTCAAAATTGTATATATTAGGTCTAACTTCGCACAGTTAAAATATTTTATTATTATAACTTACCCAATATTTTTGCACTCCAGAATAAGAATATTCTTCACCCCACCCAACAATTCTAACGGAATGATATCCAGTTCTATCATTATCAGTTAAATCAGTATGTTTGTAAATACCTCCTTGGTAAGAAAAGAAATCATGATACACTTTCATTGTGGCTACAAAAAGAAATTTGGATTTACATCAATCAATTAATGATAACCATAATTACCTTGTACTGGTCCACTATGCATAATTTCATACATAATATCAGATTCGTTAGCAACTCTATGAGCTGGTGAAACCATATATCTATCGGTGCGAAATTCATTGGTAGGTTGTGCACAACGAGCTGTTTTTAAATTTCCGCTCCTTGGGAAAGGACATTTTTCATTAGTACCTTTATAAGGAAAACAATCATTGTCGACTAAACCGAATTTTCTAAAATAATTCCAAGCTCTATCAAGATGACCACCATCACAGCTTTGTTGACCGCGATTATCACAAGATAAAAGATGTTGAGCGCTGAGTTGGACGACTTCCAACCCTTTCGAAATCACAGCGTATCTATCTGAAGCTACCGCTACAGTTGATAAAGCCCAAGAAGAACCACACCATCCTTGATCAATGATACCTGATATGTATCCAGGCCATGTTTTGTCCGAATCAAATTCTTTTGGTAAAGTATATGGGTCGTAAACGAGTCTAACTGGATTCATTCTTTTAACGAAACGATGCGGTTGTTTTGTACCTAATCGTAATCTGATACCTTCTTCATGTTTTCTACCCCAAAATTTGGTATAATTCGTAGCAGTCCATCCATATCTGGCATAATGTTGATTAACAGTGTTAATAACATCCGGTTCAATTAAACAAGTATGTTTTTCGCATAAAATCTCCGCAAATGTCATATTCCACAAATTACATTTACACAAATTGCAATTATCCTTAATGCTTTTATTAACTTCGACCACTTGGTTTTGATAGCGACAACTTGCAACAATCGGCTCGGGGTCATTTCTGCAAACGCTCCAATAATCCGGGCAACAGTCTTCATCTTTTCTTGAATCACAGAAATCATCGCAATAACATAATGTACCTAAAATCGGTCTTGAACAGGCATCCATTCGTCCTGAACAACATCTTGGTCCAGTTTTTGTTAGACAATAGTCCCCTTGGAGATCGAAAGCCGGTCGTACTGTATGAATTTCATTGACGCAAAGTGATGATATCACCAATAACGTTAATAACCATTGTATGCCATACATCTAAAAAATGAGAAGAGGAAGTTTATTTAATGTTACACAATTTTTCTGGTAAATCTAGGACGTTTAAACCAAAAGAGCCACAGAGATTAAAACCACTTCCTTATCGTTAAGAAAACGACATTTTTTTGCGGTATGGACCAAAAAAAATTGATAACAGATTTTATTTTTGTAAATAAATAAATCCGTAACTGAAAGTTGCATAAATTTAGAAAAAAAGTAAATGAGGATTTTGGGATGTCATAAATTTTTAAGTAACATCCAAACAATGGGATTAAACCTTTACAACATAAATAAACATTCAGATTTTCCAAGAATAAAAGATTATGTAAAAAGATCATGGAAAAAATGAGTTTTTTTTTTGATTATCGTTCATAAAACACAAACAATCTAAATATTTATTTAATGATGTAATAATATTCGAAGAGATAATTGTGGTTAATTTTCTTTGATGATATTTAGATAATTACTTGGAAATTTTACAGGTAATAAAGTCCCGAAGTTATTAAACGTAAAAGTACCATAAAATGAAGAGATTTCGATTCAATGCGCGTTAATAGGTCCAGAAATATTTACTTTTTATTACATTTTATGCCATAAAAATTTGTATACGAAATTGGATTATATAAATCGAAACGCCGAATGATTCAGAAAGCTATAAACAGGTTAAATTATAACGATATGTTATTTTCGGATTGAAAATTGTTTCCCGTTCCAATCTTTACGACAAATCGATTTGAATTGTTTAAAATTAGATGCATTCACGAATTCCATTCCTCTGGTAACTGACCGTTAGGAATTTCCGGTTAATATTTAAAGCGCTCTAAAAAGTTAAAAATAATTTACAGCTTGACAATTTCCGACCAAACAATACCTTATAAGTTATAAAGTAAAAGCGATAAAGAGAAATGAAAAATTTCTACATTAATACTAAATACATCTGCTATAGACTATTTGAATTAATCATTGAATATTACCAACCTACTTGAGATAAAATCTTTTATATATCGGTTTAGTTTTAGTTCTAGTTTTGCACTAGCAGTATTACTGGAGCTAACACAAGACTTAGAACTAGAATCATTCGGGTTTAGCCGTCTTGAAAGACGTGCGGCTAAATCTGAATGTTTCTAGTTCTCGGTCTAGTGTTAATTCTAGTTTTGCAGTAGCACTATCACTAGAACTAACATAAGACCTAGAACTAGAATCATTCGGGTTTAGCCGTCTTGAAAGACGTGCGGCTAAATCCGAATATTTCTAGTTCTCGGTCTAGTGTTAATTCTAGTTTTGCAGTAGCACTATCACTAGAACTAACACAAGACCTAGAACTAGAATCATTCGGGTTTAGCCGTCTTGAAAGACGTGCGGCTAAATCCGAATACTTCTAGTTCTCGGTCTAGTGTTAGTTCTAGTTTTGCAGTAGCACTATGACTAGAACTAACACAAGACCTAGAACTAGAATCATTCGGGTTTAGCCGTCTTGAAAGACGTGCGGCTAAATCCGACTATTTCATTCATATCGTTAACAGCCAATAAGAATTCGCGGTTTTCCGTCAATTACGAGTATTTCAGCGGTTATTTGGCCGTAACCATGGAGAACGATAATACGAACCTTTGTATTATCGCTTGTTTGACATTTAATTAATTTCGAGACATCCATGCATGTTTCTATAACAATCAATGTAATTTATTAAAAAATATAAAAATTCTAAAAATATGTATATTTTTTATTCATGAAATAGTCTAGCCATATACAACACGACAATCGAAAATACACGAATCTCGACGTATTGCCTGAAACACCACGAGACCGAAGGTCGAGTGGTGTTTTTTCTCGTATTATCGAGTATTTTCGATCGTCTTGTTGTATAATATATGAATATTTCTAGTTCTCGGTCTAGTGTTAATTCTAGTTTTGCACTATCACTATCACTAGAACTAACACAAGACCTAGAACTAGAATCATTCGGGTTTAGCCGTCTTGAAAGACGTGCGGCTAAATCCGAATATTTCTAGTTCTCGGTCTAGTGTTAATTCTAGTTTTGCACTAGCACTATCACTAGAACTAACACAAGACCTAGAACTAGAATCATTCCGTTTAGCCGTCTTGAGAGACGTTACTACAGAGACGTCTTCTGAGACAATAAATGGCTATCTATCTATCTATCTATCTACTATCACTAGAACTAACACAAGATCTAGAACTAGAATCATTCAGGTTTAGCCGTCTTGAGAGACGTGCGGCTAACTCCGAATGTTTCTTGTTCTCGGTCTAGTGTTAGTTCTAGTTTTGCACTAGCACCATCACTAAAACTAACACAAGACCTAGAACTAGAAACATTTCGTTTAGACCTCTCATAAGATGGCTGATAAATGACAGGTAGCGCTAGTTAGCATAAAATATCACTATGTTGCATATTTCTGTTGAACCAAAACTCGAACTAACACTAGACCTAGATCTAGAAAGATTAGGGATTATTAATTATTTTTTATTAATACTTTCTAGTTCTAGGTCTAGTGTTAGTTCTAGTTTTACACCAGCACCATCACTAGAACTAAGACACGACCTAGAACTAGAATCATTCGGATTTAGCCGTCTTGAAAGACGTGCGGCTAAATCCGAATATTTCTTGTTCTCGGTCTAGTGTTAGTTCTAGTTTTGCACTAGCTAAATCCGAATATTTCTAGTTCTCGGTCTAGTGTTGGTTCTAGTTTTGCACTAGCACTATCTCCAAAACTAACACGAGACATAGAACTAGAAACACTCAGGTTTAGCCGTCTTGAAAGACCAGTACATTCGTGTATTAAACTATATATATAAAAACTTAAAACTAAACATCGAAATAAACAATGATAAAACGACGATAACTTTAGGAAATGGATTGATGTGACTTCTGCAAAGCTATTCAATGCAGTATTGGAAACAATGTTTGTAGAAGAAGAATGAAAAAACTTGGGAATAAGAATAAATGGGTTATGGTTGAACAGGCTAAAGTTTGCTGTTGACATAGTACTTATATGAAAAAACGAAACAGTAGTAAGAAAAATGCTAGAAACACTATCGAGAAGAGGAAAGCAAATTGGTCTGGAGATAAATATGAGCAACACAAAAGCAATGTACATAAATTATGAACAAAAAAATAAAATAATTGTTAATGGAAAGAAAATCGACAAAGTAGAACATTTCGAATATCTCGGACAAAAGATTACAACTAAAAACACACAAGAAGAAATAACACGGAGAATGACAATGGGAGGGCAGATGTTTAATAGATACAAAAATATATGGAAATCAAACATAGAAATGGAGGAAAAGAAAAAATTGTGTGAAAGGTGTGTCTTCCCTGTCATCATTTATGGATGCGAGACAATTATGGATATTAACAAACAAAATGATTAAAAAAATTAGAGTAACAGCAAGAGCAATGCATAGAAGGATATTGGAAAAATAGTATTGGACCGAAAGTGGAATTGGGCGGGTCATATTATAAGAGTAAAAGATAACAGATGGACCAAGAAAATCTTAGAATGATACCCAATGGACAAAAAGAGAAGAAAAGAAAGACCAACTGCCAGCTGGGAAGATGAGTTTAAGAGGAGTTGTGGTGGAGTAACATGGCACAGGATAGCTTGGGACCGACAAGAATGGAATTGAATGAAGGAGATATACCAGGAAGTATGGCTTTATACGGACTAAATATCACGAGCATACGAACTCAGTCTCATTATGTGAATACCACGGTTGACACCGAAATAGTTACCAAAACAAACAAGAGTGAAGATGAAATTTTGATTTGTTAAATTGTATCATAAATGAAAGGTTAAGCTTACAATATTAATATTAATTTAGTGTTAAATGTACAAAAGTTTATATGAGTTGTTTCTTTTTGTTGGTGACAATAAATGGCTATCTATCTATCTATCTATCTACTATCACTAGAACTAACACAACACCTAGTACCAGAATCATTCGGGTTTAGCCGTCTTGAAAGACGTGCGGCTAAATCCGAATGTTTCTAGTTCTCGGTCTAGTGTTGGTTCTAGTTTTGCACTAGCACTATCTCCAAAACTAACACGAGACATAGAACTAGAAACACTCAGGTTTAGCCGTCTTGAAAGACCAGTACATTCGTGTATTAAACTATATATATAAAAACTTAAAACTAAACATCGAAATAAACAATGATAAAAGGACGATAACTTTAGGAAATGGATTGATGTGACTTCTGCAAAGCTATTCAATGCAGTATTGGAAACAATGTTTGTAGAAGAAGAATGAAAAAACTTGGGAATAAGAATAAATGGGTTATGGTTGAACAGGCTAAAGTTTGCTGTTGACATAGTACTTATATGAAAAAACGAAACAGTAGTAAGAAAAATGCTAGAAACACTATCGAGAAGAGGAAAACAAACTGGTCTGGAGATAAATATGAGCAAGACAAAAGCAATGTACATAAATTGTGAACAAAAACATAAAATAATTGTTAATGGAAAGGAAATCGACAAAGTAGAACATTTCGTATATCTCGGACAAAAGATTACAACTAAAAACACAGAAGAAGAAATAACACGGAGAATGACAATGGGAGGGCAGATGTTTAATAGATAGAAAATATATGGAAATCAAACATAGAAATGGAGAAAAAGAAAAAATTGTGGGAAATGTGTGTCCTCCCTGTCATGATTTAAGGATGCGAGACATGGATATTAAAAAGATTAGGGTAAGAGCAAGAGCAATGCATAGAAGGATGATTGGCATTACGAAGAAGATAAAAAACAAAAGAATGGATAAGGAAAAAGTCAAACATTGAGGATATTGGAAAAATAGTATTGGACCGAAAATGTCATGTGGGTAAAAGACAAGAGATGGACCAAGAAAATCTTAGAATGACACCCAATGGACAAAAAGAAAAGAAAAGACCAACTGCCAGCTGGGAAGATGAGTTTAAGAGGAGTTGTGGTGGAGTAACATGGCACAGGGTAGCTTGGGACCAACAAGAATGGAA